ACTTCCACCAGGCGGATCCTGGGATTGAGGCCAGCAGCGAGCATCGGAGCAGTAGAGGAGCGCGTCGGAGTGAGCTGAGGGGTTGAGGGTCCAGCGAGACTATCCCTCGGGGCAGGGTCAAGTATCAACGGTCCCCTCCCCCAGCCGTTTTTAATATATTTTATTTCTAAGTTTTATTACTTGACTATTTTTTTATTTTTTATTTATTTTCTTTTTTTCTTTTATTCGAGACCGGGCGTGTACCCAAGAGCCTAGCTCGGTGGGCACACCATTAAATGGCCGGAGAGCAGATCCAGCCACGGATCTGAACCAATGCAGCCCGCCGTGGGAGTTCTCGCCAGTCCTTCAGGACATCCGTTAAAATTGGAATGATATAGAGAAGGTTAGCATCACCCCTGCGCAAGGATGACACACATAAATCAGGATTAAGAGCGCTCTTTCTGCCGATCTGTTACGCTCCGAGGGTCAGGGCGCTGTGTGATTACATGACGCGGTGGGGTTGACGACAACGGAGTAGGAACGAAGGTGTAGACGACGGAGGTGACAGAGAGAGAGGTAGGGGAGGAATGACGGGGCGCTAAGGTAGGATTAGGGCAGCAACGGGAGTGGAATGAACCTGGGCGCTAAGTTGCGGCAGGTGTAGTTAGACTGGAGATGGCGGGAGTAGAGGGGGATGAATGAAGGTGAAAGCGACGGAGGTGAGAGAGAAGGGGTATGAGAGGAAAGGCGAGGGCCGAGGCTGAGGAGTGACGGAGAACAGGGAGTTGAACTAAGACGGGTAGTGAGGCGTAGACACGGAGCAGGGAAACGGGCGCGACCGGTGGCGAAGAAGAGTGAGGGAGTGAGAACGAACGTGGGCGCAGATTTGGGCCGGGTACGTTCGACGGGTACACATGGCGGAGCAAAAGAGTAGCGGGCGACATCAGATCTACGTTTAACTTGCCCGATTCTTGACGGAATCGGGTAAAGTAAAACGTGAGGTTGGGGTCTTGAAAGGGGGCGAACGTGGCCATGAAGTCAGGTTAGGCGTTAAGTTAGTAGACCGAGGCTAGCAAAGGAAAGGGTTGCGAAAGGAGGAGTCGAGGGAAGTGGGTATGGACGGAGGAAGAGGTGACGATTTGCCCGATTCATCATAGAATCAGGTAAGGTAGGATGCTAGCTTAGAGTTTAGGCCGTGGCGAGGGTGAAGGTAAGGTTAGTTTAGCCAGTGAGTTAGTAGACTACGAGTTAGTAAGGGAACGAGCCGCGCGCGAGATGGCGGAGGCTGACTGTGGCAAAAAGGCGGGGGAAACGTAACTCACTCGATTCTTCGTAGGACCGAATGAGTGGAGGTGCCAGGCAGGGGTTTTGGCAGGTGGCGTTTGTGATCCCGTGGTTAGTTTTGGTAGAAAAGTAGTAAGATTAGAATTAGAAAGGAAAGGTAGTGCGAGGTGGTAGAGAGGAGGTGGTGACGAGGAAAAAGGTGCGCAGGTGTAGGCGAACAAGGGGAACGGGCACGCAATAGAAGGAGGGATCGTGAGGAGTAATATGTGCCTGACTTCCGTTCCCATCATGTGTGATCGTGCCGTGATCACCTTCACGCTACCTGGCCTCTATGTAAGCAGAGTGAACCTGGTCAGATGAGCGGCCAGATGCAGTCTTAATGAGTTGGGTGTAAGTGACTGTAAGAGATGAGGGAGTGTGGCTATAGCATGAGCGTGTAAAGTGGCATAGATATATACAGAGAGAGAGAGGGGGAGAACGTTTACCTTAAGGGAACGGAGGGCGTGGGACACGCAAAAGATAGAGTATCAAAGCTAAGTTACGAACAAAATTACTACAACCTTTGTAAGAAAATGCAAGTGGCAGCCAAATATTTTACTGCCAGGCACTGCCATCCGCCGCATGGTTGCTTCGTGCTTGGTACATATGTTTACCCCGGTCTCAGTATCCGGGCCAGGTTCACTTGGCCACTATAACAAGCAGGTGTAGAGCAAGGGTCATTGCCAAGGAGAGGGACGGAGCTTATTACTGAAGACAGTGGGTGAAATGACTTTTTGAGCTAACTACGATAACAAATTAACAGGTTCTCAGAAGGACAGACAAATATTTTGCCAGGGAGAGTGGGGCGACTACGTATACTGATTGCGATTGTGACTGATGCGACTTCCGTTACTTTTAAACACAGGTCTAGCTAAGTTGGGTGCTGGCACGGAAACTGGGCACCTTACGGATGTTATTGCTGTATCTCCAGCATCATTGTGCTTTGACATATAGCACTACGGTTGCTACTTCTAGTATCTATATACTGCTACGGTGGTTGCTGCGGGACCAGGGCCATTACGGCAGGTCACTGGGTTACCAGGACTGTTTATTCTATGTGTTTCAGTAACTGCCTGTTAAAGAACGCTTTGGGTGCTTATTTTCCTGATTGTGCTGGGTGTCCTAACCACGGTTCATGCCCACTCGTTTGGACATTGCGGGGCACTCATCTCAATGGTTGACAGTATATCCGCTCGTGTTAGAAGGAGGGAAAAAGTTTCTATGAGTTGCATGGGTGGCAGGAAGGAGGGACGTAAGGATCATCGAGCCCGTCAACACGACGCTCGTGAGGAGTGTTGCGGCGAGGCGATTGAGGGTTGCTGCTGATGAGAAATTACTGCTACCAGTGGGGAAACTGTGAGGGAAGGGGCATGTGCCGTAGCATGCGGAAGAGTTTTCCGTAAGCAGTAGGGAGTATACTGCTGAGTGCATTACTGTGCACTATGTTGAGTGCGTCGTTGGAGGTATGCTACTGCATACAGATCGGTGTGGAGATATGACGTGGATGGTGAGCACGTGGGCAGCCACATAATCGAGTTGTTGCATGACCACTACTCGCGTAGTTTCAGTAGGCTGTCACGTCTTGTCTGCGTGCTGAATAGAGTAAAGGGGCAGTTGATCGTGACCTTGGAGTTTACCACCTCCTCGGCAGGACGACTGTTGTTACTGGCGGCCGCCTCGGTGGCTACGTTACGGCTGCTGTGTGCCGGTGGGCTGTTTTGCGGACAGTGAGAGCACTATGTTTTAACGGTGCTCAGAACAGGCTATTACACAAGGCGGCTGCGCTACGGCTGCTGTAACATCGAATTCGGTTGTGCACCCCGTGCCAGCAACTGGTGTGCAACTGTGGCTGCTGGCTCTATACCTTACTACTGGTATAATCCGTTGCTACCGTAACTGTTGTAGGAAGCTGTAAATATCCTACAGGCCGCTGCAGTAGTACGGCCATACACATGTCCAAGTTGGGCACACCGCTGAGTGTCTTATGACTGCACACATCTGCGTATTGAGTGGTACGGCATTGTAACACTGTGGTGGGCATTGCGCTAAGCACGAATGAGGAAGTCGGACGTTGTCCCCCAATGCGGACCACTGCGGTGCGCATCCTGTGCTGCTGCTGCTGGTGGCGGCTGCTGCTGCTGGGGAGGGCCTGCTGCTGTGTATTGTGCGCGATCCGTTGCTACATGCAGGGCACTATTGATCGCGGTATGTTGCTACAACGCTGGTGGACTGGGTACAGACTATGGATGCTGTTGCTGGCAGCCGCTACTGTTGCTGTTAATCGCAACTTGCGGCCGTTGATGTGGACTGTTGCAGGCTGGTGTGCGGTCGTGAGCGGGCTGAGAAGAGGAGCTGAGACTTGGGGGGATGGTCAGGCTAGACGAGTAGGGGGTTACTAGTGCTACGGTTTAGGAGGTTGACAGGGGATTGATTTCGACAGCTCGACGTCAAAGATACTGACCAAGCTGACACATTGGCCGCCATTGCGGGGCCCTCAGGCGCCTCTAGATTTCAAGGCCCTCTCATGGTGAGTTGAGTTGACCCATCCTTGGATCTCGAGAGTCTGAACCTTCTACTTTTATCTTTCTCAGTCTCAGTCTAGTCTCTTGGTTACGAGAGGAAGGCGGCTGGCGGGATTGCAACCCGTAGGTCCGCAGCAAGACCTTGTGGGAGGTCTACCCACCGATTGCGGGGGCTCTGCCGGAACCCAGGCGGGGTTCTGGAGGCAGGGAACTTCAGGTATAATTTCGATTGACCCGTGTGATCCCTTCCCTTAGCTGCTATCCTTGGGTATCTGAATAAGACTATGACAGGCTATTACTTTTTATTTTGCTATGTATGTCAGGACATGTTTTGCAAAAGGTTAAGTGAACACATATATATGAGAGTTCAGATGAACCTGAGTGAATTCAGACAAAATGAACGGGGGGGAAGTTGGGATGAAGGTGTTATGCATTCTTTGACTGGGTCAACCCAAGGCTGAGCTCCTCTAAGTTGATGTGGGTTCATTGCTGTGTTTTATTTATGTTTGTTGGGCTGATTGTATGATCTTTGAGGGCTGGGCCTATCCTAAGTTGGACGGACCAGTCGCTGTTTTTTTCTGGGGTTTCTGCACAGGAGGATGAACATCCTATGTTGGGAGGACTTAGAATCCTGATGTTTCGTTTGTGGGCTGCTGAAAGCAGGACTGGGATATTCTAAGTTGTGTAGACCCAGTTCTGTGTGTGTTTCTTCTTGAGGGGGACACTGGCATGAGGCTGAGCGTACCCTTAAGTTAGGGCGGCTCAGTCATAAGCCATGAACAAAATGGTCAACCACAATATAAAAATTGCTACATATACTATATGAACTTATGCTATGACAGAACGGACACCCTAAGTTGGGAAAGCCAGTCAGTAAGCCAGGTAGAACAAGAAGAAAAGAGAAGCAAATAAAGAGTATAATAAAGGTAATTCGGACGTACCCTTAAGTTAGGGCGGCTCAGTCTTATGCTCGTAATAATGCAAAGGTGCAGAGAGTTAGTATAAATCTTCTTTTATTTTCCCTTCTAAACACAAGGTCTCCCTAAGTTGGGTAGGTCTGATCATCTGCCTAATAAGAGAGAAACATATAAAGTTTGTGCAAGTACATCAATGGTTGTTCTCTTATACTGTCGTTACGGAGACTAAGCGTACCCTTAAGTTAGGGCGACTTAGTCATACGTCGTTTGTACTTTGTTCAGGCAGATCAGGCGTACCCTTAAGTTAGGGCGGCCTGATCATATTGTCTTATGTACCTAAACCTGTTTAAGCTGGCTAGGCGTACCCTTAAGTTAGGGCGGCCTAGCTATATGCTCTTGTCGTTGTTGTTATGTAGGTTGGACGTACCCTTAAGTTAGGGCGGTTTGATCGTTCGTCGTTCGTACTTGTTTTAGTCAGGTTAGGCACAACCCTAAGTTGGGCAGACAAATCCTATGCCCTATGTAACCTTGTCTATGAGCTGACAAGGTTTACCCTTAAGTTAGGGCAGTCTAGTTTATGCTTAATGTCGTCAGTTAAGCAGAAGTCAGACGTACCCTTAAGTTAGGACGGTCTGGTCATATATTTTATGACTACAGTCTATGTGATGTTGGGCATACCCTTAAGTTAGGGCAGTCCAGTTGTGCGTACATTTAGTTGTTTACTTAGGCAGGTTGGGCATACCCTTAAGTTAGAGCCTTGTCTGATCCTATGCCATAGGTAAGGGGGTTATAACAGGAAAAGAACTGAGTGATCCAATTAACTATTCAGATTAAACTTATATTGGATTGTGAGAGATGTTTGTTCATGCATGCTTGTGGGCTCTCACTCTGGGGCGTCTTTTTGGTAGATTAGTTGTTTAGATGCTTGCCAAGTGCTGGAGCCACAGACAGATTTGTTGGATGATGGGAGGGAGAGCTTGGGATGAAGATAGGACTGACCCTACTAGGAGTTAGGATCAGGGCTAGCTCATGACCTCATGTAGAGGTTGTGCGGGCTATCATTGATTCTAAATCATCGAGCAGATGTCAGAAGATAGTCCCAAGTATAGCTTGCTTTGTCTTTCTGTCTTTCAACTTTGTATAAATCTTGATAGCCTCCTGTTCCTACGGGAAGCGCTGCCGAAATTTCTGCAAATCTGAAAGAGTTAGTCATTTTTGGACTCACAGAATTTTTTAAAAGACACTTTTCCTACGGGAAACGCTGCCGAAATTTTGCAGAATTTGAGGAGTTGGAATATTTTCAGCTAGGGGCTACTTAGCAGATCTATCCTGGATAGAGGAGATGTTCAGTGACCTGGTACTAGTAGAGGAGCTAGGTTACGACATAGGGAGTATTCGCCTTCCTTGGCATAAACACAGTAGTGTTTCTTTTGGCCTGTACTGTGATGCAGGTGTCCGTATTTCGCCTGAAGGCTTTGGATGCCAGGACGAGTGACGGGAGAGACTTTAAGAAAATGGTAGAGGATGTTGTTGCCCAACTTGATGTGGAAAAAGAGGCAAAGACAGCGGGAAAGGCTATGGCGGCACCGCAGACTCAGGGAAAGGCGAAGAAGGCGGTGGTGCAAGAGGAGGAAGAAGAGGAAGAAGAGGAGCCCGAACCTCCAAAGCTAACGAAGACTCAAAGAAAGGCGAAAATTTTGGCTCAAGGGGAGCAAGGCTCGGGAAGAGGACAGGTCCCGCAAGCGACAGCACTGCCTCCCCCGGAGTCGCCCAGTCAGGCCGCGCCAGCACCCGATGGACCGTGGTCAGCTTATGGACCTCCAAGCTTTGGCCTGGGCACTGTTCATATGTACCATAGCCGGTGAGTGGGCCGCATGGGTCATGCGCAGGAGCGTCGCTAAGCACGGCTTCCTGCGGGTGCCCGGGACCCCAGCCTCAACAGGTAAGCCACCCAGGTCCGCAGCCAAGCCAACCTCAATAGTCGGCCCCACAAGGATCACAAGGAAACCAAGGCGGCGGACGTTGACATAATCAAGGATGGGGCCGAGGGCGAGGCAATGGTGGCCGCGGAGGGAATGAAAGGGGAAATGGTGGTGGAAATTCCATAGGAGGAGGCAATGGGGACTGGAATGCGTCAGGAAGCCAGGGCAGTCAGGAAGGTGGACACGGATATGGTAGAGGAAGAATAGACTGGAGGAACGCCATTTGCTGGCATTGTGGGCAGAAAGGCCATACCATCAAGTTCTGCCATGTTCGAAGGAACGATGAGGATGAAGGTCTAATCAGCATGAACTACGATGGGGACATGTATGACAAGTTTGGATACTACCTTGACCCGAAGACCCCAGGCGGTACAAGGAAGAAAGCCCTACGACGAGCAGAGGCCGGCCCGCCACCCGCTCCTCCAGCCATGTTTCGGATGTGGCAGGAGAAAGAGGTCCGTTGTGACATCAGGGTGGAAGAGGTAGGAGATAATGAGGAAGTGGAGCAGGGAAGGAACGTTGGCACCATCAAGGAAGAGCCGATCATAGTGGAATCGGATGACGAGATAGAGGAAAACTGTTGGAACATGCCAAGACATGCTAAGATAGGAGAAGACTGCTGGAGGGAAGCCCGACAGACAATAGAGAGGATGGAGGACCTCGTAGCTAAAGTCGGGAGGTACCAACAAAAACTTACCGATATGTGTGAAAAGGTTGAGGAGTGGAGAGGTAAGGAGCCACTGGTGTACCTCTACGACATGGGTCCGAGATCACAGGGCGAGTCTGAAAATTTACCAGGAGTCACGATTTCAGGACCGACACCTCGGTCCGGCATGGCTTATAGGCCACCCTCCAGAACAGGGAGAGTACCACATGCTGTCAGGACAAGGGCCAAGGGGCCGGTGAGCCCCGAGGAGCCGACAAAGGATGTTCCTGAGCCCAGTGGGGAGAAATAGGTAGTGGATGTTCCAGAGGGAGAGGATGATGAAGACGACAGGTTGAGGAAAGAAGAGGACGAGAAGGCTGAGCAAAGAGCTAAAAAGAGGGGCGGCAAACCTGACACGGACAATACCTCAGAAGTAAAGAAAAAGAAGTATGCTGTTCGAGTAGAAGAAGGATTCGATGTGGAGGAAATAATGGACAAGATCCTCGAAGGTCATAACCACCTTATGAACCTGAAGGACGTCCTGGCCTCGACGCCAAGGCTCAAGGATGAGCTAAAAGCGCGATTATCTAGGAAAATGGTGGCCAGTGTGCGATTAGCGACCATAATCCCTAAAGAGGCAGAATGGGCTGAGACAGGTACTAAGATGGAATGGAAGTCGGTCGCATGTGGGTGCCTAGATGTAGTGGTGAAAGGACAGACGTGCACAACGATGGTGGACAGTGGTGCAAAGATGAACCTTATAAAAGAGGAGCATGCTTTGCACCTAGGAATGAAAATAGACCGCTCTGATATTGGGGTCCTGATGGGGGCGAACAGTCGATCGGTGTTCATAGGGACTGCATTATCGGTGATTTTAGAGATTGGAAAAGTGAAAGTGAGAAGTTGTTTCTTCGTGATGTCTGATCTCGACCACCCTATTCTACTAGGTAGGTTATTCCTAAGTCGAACAGAGACCGTCATACTATGTTCCTTGATCTGTGCGATCCAGTATGCGAAAACTATGAGGTCACAACTTGCAAGAACACAGGACCTAGGAGTATAAGAAACCGGCCCAACCGTGGTTCTTTCACGATTGAAGAATCAGAAGAGGAGAGGTTGAGATTGGAAGGCATCAGGATTGAAGAGGAAAGAGGGTCAAAGGCTCTGACCCTTAGCCTAACGAATATAGATGATGCTATGGACATAGCGTCAACCTATGGGATGGCGGATCCAGAGGCCGTGGAGGCCTTGAGAGAAAAGGTGGTGGAACAAATGGGAGCAGGAGAAATGAAGTTGATATACCGGACGCCAGGAAGGATAGGCGGAGCAATTGGAGCGCAGCCCCGGAGCGCAACTCGGCCTTTTTTAGGGATGGGCCCAAGCAGGGGGCACAAAAGCGGTACAAAAGGGTAGACCAGAAGTGCCGCCCTGTTCCCGTGCTCGTCGCCGAAGAGCAGGAAGTTTACTACGAACGGGAACGAGAGCTGATACGGTAGATACGAGAAAACGCAGAGAATGGGCCGTGTAGTATCACCCCTGAAACAGCGAAGGCGCTGATTATAGGAGAGCCTGACTTTCTTACAGCGCAAGAAGAGAAGCTTATGGTGGAAACCATAAGCGGAAGGCACGCTGCGTATGCCTTCAGTGATGATGAGAGAGGTCGTCTGGACGTGGATATAATCCCGATGATCAGGATACACACCGTGCCTCACGAGCCATGGAACTTGCGAGGTGCGCAGTATCCTAACCAGCTGATGAAGAGAAGGTAGTTAAATACCGTGATGGAAAAATCCGCACACATGTGGCAGACTACTCGAGCGGACCGTATGCATCCCCTTGGTTTAGCTTTGTCAAACCCAATGGGACTTTGAGGTGGGTACAGGATTTGCAGCGCTTGAACGCTGTAACGGTGAGAGACGCATGAGGTCTCCCCAACGCGGATGCGCTTTCAGAGGTCTGCGTTGGGAGAGTCATAATATCTCTCATAGACTTTTATTCAGGCTACGATCAGTTTCCTGTATACCCATGTGACCGACCAATGACGGCTATGCATACCCCTCAAGGGCTGATCCATATGAACGTCGCACCGCAAGGGTGGACGAATGCGGTTGCCATGGTCCAGAGGCACATGGTGAGGGCGATGCAGCCGATAAGTCCTCACATTACTCAGCCCTATATTGATGATCTGGCCGTGAAGGGGCCTAAGGAAAAGGATGAGCAGGAGGTGATGCCGGGAATCAGGCGCTTTGTCTGGGATCATGTGCAAGACTTATGCAAGGTCCTGGACCTTTTGAAGGAGCATAACCTCATTGCCAGTGGGCCAAAATCGAGGCACTGCATGAGCGGGGTCACTATCTTAGGGTTTGTGTGCGACGAGAGGAGTCGTCGACCAGATACTAAGAAGACCAACAAGATTCTCAAATAGCCAATCCCGTTCGAGACCATCACAGAGGTGAGAAGTTTCCTGGAAATGTGTCGGTTTTGGAGTATCTTCATAAAAGGGTTTGCGGCGAAGACTGAGCAGTTGCGAAAACTCGTGCGTCAGGGCCAAGATTGGGAATGAGGAGATGGGCAAGAATCGGTGATAGAAGGTCTGAAGAAGGAGTTTGAGGAAGGAGGTCTAGTACTGGGGATACCAGATCATGCGGCGGTAATGACCAGACCTTTCATTGTGGAAACGGACGCAGGGTCAACTGCTTTAGGGGGTGTGTTGATTCAGCGAGATCCCAATGGAGAAGAACGACCACTTAGGTTTGAGAGTCGGACGCTCAATACATATGAGAGGAACTACTCTCAATTTAAGCGCGAAACCTTGACAGTTCTTCACTGTGTAAGGATTTTCAGAAACTACCTCTTCGGCAACAGGTTTGTACTGAGGGTGGACCCAACTGCTCTAGCTGGTTCTCTCAAGAATTCCGCTCTGCCGGATCCGACCATCGTCAGATAGCTAACGTACATCTGGATGTTCGACTTCGAGTTGGAGCGAATTCCGGGGAACAAGAATAGAGCGGACGGGTGAGTCGAGTCGCCTGGGACAAAAACAATCAGGGAGTGATCGAGGATGCTCCACCAGTTGACGAATTCCTGGACAATGAGGAAGATGGACAGTGAGGAAGATGTGAGGCTTCACATCAACTTCTGGTCGCTAGCTGTGGGTAACTATGTTACTCCTGGACGACGTGTGTGGCTTGCGCCACCAGGACATGTACGACGACCAGACCTAGTCCTTAAGCCCTATATCGAAGAAGACTCTTGGGGAATGCTAGGTGTGGACTGGATGATAGAGCTGGCCTTGGCAGACAAGTACCAACTGCATGAGGACTCGCTAACGATTGAGGATGGGGCGTTGCAGGTGGACAAGTAGGAGAAGACGATAGGTGGGGTGTATCTGCTGGCAAATGCGCTGCTTCAGGAAGAGGCGGTCAGGAATACGGTGCTAGATCAGGAAGAGGTGGTAGAGCAGGAAAAAGGTGACAATGTAATCCACGAGAGGAAAGATGATGACTTTGAAGAAGGTGAGATTAAGGAAGCGTTTCGAGCAGAGGAATATGAAGGAGTATACCTTGAACTCGGAATGCTTCTGTCGTGTGAGATAAGGGAAAGAGACGCTTGTGCCAGAGTCTTGAAGATGAGGCCTAGTTTCCTAATGACGGATGACCATCTGTTCATGAGAAGCAAAGGGAAGGCTTCCAGAAGAGTAGTCTGCGGCGTCGCTTGCCAGATTGACGTTATGGCAGCAATGCACGATGGTACAGCGGGTGGTCACAAAAACACGGATACGACATATCTCAAGATACACGAGCTGTACTATTGGGATGGCATGGGACAGATGATCGATGATTATTGTAAGTCATGTGTACCATGCCAGGAGCGATCCTCTCTTAGACCTAGAGAGTCGCTTCACCCAAGGTATGTTCGTGAAGTTGGGGCAGTCATGCGCCTGGATCTGTTGGCAATGTCCCTGGGAATAGGGAGCTATAATTTTATGTTTGATGCGCGAGACAACCTCTCTGGATTTGTAGATGGCAGGGTCATTCGCACGAAGACAGGGGAGACGCTGGCCCGATGCATCGAAGAATACTACATGCGTTACCCCTTCGTCTCCAGATTTGTGATGGATAGAGGGTCCGAGTTCACCTGTGCGGAAGTGAAGACTCTTTTGAAGAGGTATGGGGTCATCGCGGAATACACTACTGCGGCGCACCCCCAAGCTAATGCACCGGTGGAAAGAGGACATAGCACCATCACAAATCTTCTCGCCAAATGGACTGATGGCAGACCCAATCAGTGGCCAAATTTTCTAAGGGTCGCTTTCTTCGTGAATAATATCACTGTTAGAAGGAGCACCGGCTATGCACCGACTACTTTATGGTACGACAGACATGCAACATTTCCTATCGAGAGCTTCCTAAAGACCTGGAGGTGGCAAGACCTCGAGACTGATCTGACCTTTGAGGAACTGCTGGATTTAAGAGCACGTCAGATTGACGCTATAGAGGACAGAATTGAGGGAGCGGCAAGTAGAGTGGCGACCAACCATAGCAAGGACAAGTTCAGGTGGGATAAAATGGCAAGAGTAAGGAAAGAGTCTCTCAAGGTGGGAGACATTGTGCTGTTGGACAAGAGGTGGTTGAGACCATACAGGGTCACCACGTGTGGGGAACACGAAGCCTACCAGATTGAGGAGTTGAATGGGACAACATGGAAAGACTGGGTGTCAGGCTCAAGGCTGAAGAAGTTTACTGCTCGAGACGAGGTGAGCATGGACCGCACCAGTTAGAGTCACTCGCTGAGCACGTTATATAGGAGCAGTAGTATAAGTAGAATGTATGAGATATTGTTCTTAGTAGAATAGCGTGACGGGTTGTGACTTCTTGATTAGACTTGTGTATGTATGTATGTATGTATGTGTAGATAGGCAGATAGCTGGGATAGTTATGGGAGGGCTATATCTGTCTCCTGTTGTGCTTACCCAACTTGCTTACACTCTGTGTGCTCCTGTTTGTCTCCTCCTTGTTGTGCAGGCTTGACACCGCTTGAGGCAGCCATACCAAGAGGGAGGGGAGGGGGCAGAGTCAGTGGAAACCCCTATAGGGGCGACCAGACAGATGGCGCAGATAGGGACCAGGAGAGAAGACAGACCTTCGGTTTTCTTGGGAGGGAACATTAAGCTGTTCTTGATTGAGTTTGAGAGGCATGCTCGGGAGTTTGAATGAGATGGCACCAGGATGATGAGAGAGGTACGAGGCGCAGGCGAGTGGACGGATCCCATTGCCAACCTTGTCAGGGAGTCCCTAACTTGGCAAGGTTTTGAGAGAAAGATGGAGGGTTTGCATCCGTCGCCAGTGGGAAGAGATGGACAACTCATCCAATTTGACTCCACTAATCTGGGGGAATTTCTATGGGCTTATGACCGATATGCGGATGAGCTGGATATTCCAGGGGAGCAGAGGACGGGGAACTTTCTCCTGTACGTAAGGCGACAAATCAGGTCATTCGTCAGATCTATCGTGGCGCCTGCTATGAGTTGGGGGCACTGCAAGAAGTTGTTGTGGAACTATTATACTCCAGCACGTCAGGCGGGTGAAAGAGGAAGTTTGGAAAAGAGAAAGAGGGGACCAAAACCAGAGGCGGCCGAAAGAAGGACGTTTGAGCAGGGCATGTCTTCAGGGACTCAGAGGGAGGACAAGAGGAAGGAGCACAAATCCCATAGGCACGAAGGACCAGGAGGGTCAGGTGGTCTAGGGGTGCCTCCCCAGCCTGCCCAGATGGAAGTGGACTGTCCTATGCTAGACATAGAGCCAGACAGGCCTCATGAGCCACAGGTACAGGATCAGAAGGAGGAGCAGTCTGCCCAGGAGAAGGAACTGGACAAGAAAGAGAGAGCGGCAAGGGATCAGGAGATCAAGGTTCAACTAAGCATGAAGAACCTTGCTGAGCTGCATGAGAGGATGCAGCAGGGGAAAGAGCCTGAGCAGGTAGATGACAGAAGGGGTAAGGGCACTTGCACCCAGGAGGAGGACCTGCCCCTGCTTTCAGAAGTCTGGATCGGCTTTGACAGGCTAATGGAGGTTGCAGGAAGATCAAGAGGATATCACCAAGAGATGAGGGCCAAATTGGTCTCTACAGACGTACTTAACCTGAGGGGTGTGATGAGGGAAGGCTTCGCAGCAACCAGGACTTCAGACGAGAAGGTTGGAGAGAGGTTGACAAAGGTGGCACAAAAGGTATATGGCCAGAGAGTAGATTGGGAGAAAGAAGTCGAGGACTTGAAGAAGGAATTGGGGAGGCAAGGCAAGGAGGTGGAGGCAGTGAGAGCAGATATGGAGAAGGTTTGGGCAAAGAACGAGGCTGTCAGGCAAGTCAACCAGACCCTTAAAAAGGTCAATGACGTCCTGAGGGCCTACCTACAGGCACAACAAGTTTCCTTCCAAGCAAAGGAGGCTGAATCGAAAAAAAGGATACAAAACCTTGAGACCAAGTGTACGCGGCAGACTCCAACTGCAGTGGTGGACTGGACAGAGGTCCAAGCGTTTGAGATCAGGGAGCGACCGGCTGCAGAAGCCTTCAGATGCCAGAAGGAAGAAGAGAAGGCAAACGAGCAGGAAGACGAGGAGATTCCCCTGATAGATAAAGAGATGTTGGAGCCGCAAGGAGAACTAGCTGTGTGAGAAGCTCAGAGGTTGGAGGATTTGAGTGGAGGATGCCGGCGGGTCTGACACGGGAACAAGAGCCGGCGATGCCAGAAGAGAGGCCACCAGCTGAGGCAGTGAGAGTTGAGGCAGTTCTACCTACAGCTCAGGGAGAGACCATGGGACAACAAGAGGGTCAGGAGAGCGTGGGCCAGACCATGGTTGAGACTGAGCCGAGGGTGGGCTTGAAGAGATGTCAGGGATCGGCTATACCGCAGGACATGCTTCTGGTTGCGGGGTTGAGGGAGCTTTGGGATCTTGGGTCACTGGTTCGGGGCCAGAGGAACGTGTCGGCGAGCAGGTGATACCAACAGACGGGAAAACAGCATGCCCCACTTCCCCAGAGGTCCCACAACAGGAGGTCACGAGCAAGATCTCGACAGTTCCGTTATCAGTACCCTCGCAGGAAGGAGACAAGATGTCTCAGAAGAAGATTGGCAAATGCTTTTATTGCAAGAAGGGCAAACATCGATCTGACGACTGCCACACGAGCCTCAAGGACGAAGCGAGCGGGTTGGTTACCAGAGAGTCATCTGGAGTGTGGAGGGATAGAAATGGAGTCCTAGTTCCTAAGACTCGTGATGGGGTGAGGGCGCAGTTGTATAGGCCGCTGCAGGAGGTCATGAGTGATCAGGAGTAGGATTTTTCTAATAAGGTCTGAAAAAGTCTAAGTCTACTCTACGCAAGGCATCTCTGACTCACTGGCTGATGGCTACTTGTATATAGGAGGATACATGGAGGATTGGATCAGACCCATGTACATCAGCCAGTTGAGCCGGTAGTGAGATGTCTACTCTCGCATTATGGACTTGTCTGTATATAAGATAACACTGTGTATAATTTTGACTATTTTTCTCTGTTTTTGCTAGTGTGGTGTGGAGTGTTAATACCTCTGTATAGAATTATGAGTCAGTTATTCGCTAGAGCAGAGAGACGCTCATGAGTAGGGAGTGACTGTCGATTTCTTGATACCTTGGTACTTGGATACCCTGATTCTTTGTTGGATACTGTACTTTTGTAATGGATACTTGCTCTCTTTGTACAACACTTTAACTTGTTGATAAGGACAGGAGCCCTTGCCTATTGCAAGACCCTGTATTCTGTGTGCATATGTGAGTCCCAAACTATGTTTTTTTGTTGTGTATGGTGTGTTACACTCACTCTTAGTGGTGGACTTGCCTATATGGATGATGGTGTGATGAAGTGAATGTTACAAAAAGAAATGATCTGCGCTTTCTTCCACTATACTTGCGCACCCCTGTCCTAAGGATAAGTGGAACCCAAAGTATGATGGGAGAGAGTGCCCTCAGATTATTGAGAGATAAATGACGTAATATTTTTTTTTCAGATGGAATGTTGATGAATGGAAAGATCACAACCAAAGTTGTGTTTTTTTGTGTATGACTCGGAAAAGAGAGAGAGAAGTCCAATGGCCGATTGGACTTTCTTAAAGGAATGAAAATTGTAAGAGCACTCAAAAGAGATGCTATAGGGATGATAAATGTTTGTATGTATGTAAAAGTCCGACGAGGAAAGACCACATATTTTGTGAGAACAACGGATGGAAATTTTTGACAATTATGATGGAACTTTGGAAAGTATTGTGAATATCCCTAAAAGACGTGTGACCTTAGCTGCTTTTGATCAAAGTAAAGGAGGCACGACCCTGTGGAGTTACCGAGGATTTTATTGGAATGAATGAGAAAGGCACTATCCCTCCACGTAGTCCCGTGGGCAGTGGTATGTGATCCTTTGTTCAATTCTGGAGGTTTTCCGGAAAAGAGTGTCAGGCCATAGTGGAGTCAGTCTAAGGGACATATTTTGTAAGGTCGAGCTAAAATGTTATACTTAGCATCGCAGAAACTGTAAAACCTAACTCCCAACGAGGGCCGTTGACCGGGGCAACCTGGCAGCGAGACCATGGCTTACCAAAGGTTAAGTCTTGAAGGGTCGGCCACCTGGAGAGGTTTAGCTAGAGGGGAGACCATTGGGGTCGATTAGGTCAAGAGTCGGGACCCTCCGGGGTACCAAGATAGGAAGAGTTGCTTATCGTTGCGTAACCAACGAGGGCACCATCGCTACATAACGACGCGGTGGGCCGTGGATTCGGCATGATCGACCGTTCCATGGTGGGCCAAGATGGAGACCTGAAGCCACCTATGTTAGACTCCAGGATGGGCGTTAATTATGATTGTTTATTTGAGATGGTAGCACTACCATTTAGGGGACTAAAGGTGCCCCGTATTTTGAGAGGTCTCGGTTAGGGCCCGCGTCCTGAGTTATGAACCCGTTCGCGGGACGATGACTAAACAGGACACCCAACGGTGAACCGGCAGATGTCTACGACGAAGGGACAGGATTATCAACCTACTACCTTAGAGCAGATCGTACGTTGTAGTACGGAACAAAGTATCCCCTAACTCCGAGACCAGGACGTGGGAGACCCAGGTTGAAACCCTGGCAGTGGAACGTCGTGACGGGTGCAGGTTGATAAGAATACCTCGAACGGAGTCGAGCCGGTGAATCGGAATGGTTACTTCCTCGTCAGCAGATGTGGTTGTGTTAATAGCTTTGATTGTCCGATGCGACGGGGACTTCGCTTAATAAGGTCCGGAAAACTGTCGGCCCGAACACCCTTACAAAGGTATTTGGGCACATATTTGCAGCTTACAAGGAGAACGGGTCTGACGATATCTAGGGACGCGTTTCAATTGTGTTGATTACAGAGTGTGTGAGCGTGCACTTTGCGGACACACGTTAGCCGGACCGAGCAATTGATCAAGGAAGTCTATGAGGCGCCGGTAGGACAAGTAAGTACGAGGCTAGAAGTTCTGAGGCAGTCGCAGCGTCGCACGCACAGGTGAAGTTACAGGCAGCGTTGGGTTGATCAGGTAGGACTATGACTAGGGGAGGATGTTGTCTGACTTACTGGGGACCAACGTTTCAGGGCCATGCCGTGTGAAGTTTCGCAGGCACTAGATTAACCATGCACCGTCGATAGTAGGAGCCGCCGTTGAAGCCAAGTAAGGATGGCACAAACTAGAGCAACGGCTGGGGGTTCTTCGACAGAGGAGCGATAAAAAGGCGCTTGCGGCAGGCTATAAGGGGCACAGTCGGCAGCCATGGCATGATGGAGCATGCGTGTGGGGGGGGGCTAAGCGGAGCCTTGCCCTCTAGACAACCAAGTGCGGCATTAAGGGGCCGGGTACGAAGACCGTAAGTTGGAAAACGACTGAGGCGCCGTTTGCAGGCCCGGGCTGGCTGGCCTTACCATTCATATACAGGGCAACGCACAACCAACTCAGGCTTGGGCTTAGCCCTATAGGTTACGTCACTGAACTTCCACCAGGCGGATCCCAGGATCGAGGCCAGCAGCGAGCATCAGAGCAGCGGAGGAGCGCGTCGAAGTGAGCTGAGGGGTTGAGGGTCCCGCGGGACTATCCCCCTTGGCTTTTTGCGAGGGGTTCCGACCGCGGGCCCGCGGGGCAGGGCCAAGTACCAGCGGTCCCCTCCCCCATCCGTTTTTAATATATTTTATTTCTAAGTTTTATTACTTGACTATTTTTCTTATTTTTTTATATTTTCTTTTATTCTTTTATTCGAGACCGGCTGTGTACCCAAGAGCCTAGCTCGGTGGGCAGACCATTAAATGGCCGGAGAGCAGATCCAACCACGGATCTGAACCAATGCAGCCCGCTGTGGGAGTTCTCCCTAGTCCTTTGGGACATCCGTTAAAATTGGAACGATGCAGAGAAGGTTAGCATCACCCCTGCGCAAGGATGACACACATAAATCAAGAGTAAGAGCGCTCTTTTTGCCGATCTGTCACGCTCCGAGGGTCAGGGCGCTGTGTGATTACACGGCGCGGTGGGGTTGACGACAACGGAGTAGGAACGAAGGTGTAGACGACGGAGGTGAAAGAGAGAGAGGTAGGGGAGGAATAACGGGGCGCTAAGGTAGGATCAGGGCAGCAGTGGGAGTGGAATGAACTTGGACGCTAAGTTGCGCCAAGTACAGTTAGACTGGAGATGGCGGGAGTAAAGGGGGATGAACAAAGTTGAAAGCGACGGAGGTGAGAGAGAAGGGGTATGAGACGGAAAGGCGAGGGCCGAGGCTGAGGAGTGACGGGCAACAGGGAGTTGAACTAAGGCGGGTAGTCAAGCGCAGACACGGAGCAGGAAAACGGGCGCGATCAGTGGCGAAGGAGAGTGAGGAAGTGAGAACGAACTTGGGCGCAGATTTGGGCCGGGTACGTTCGACGGGTAGAGATGGCGGAGCAAAAGAGTAGCGGGCGACATCAGATGTACATTTAACTTGCCCGATTCTTAACGGAATCGGCTAAAGTAAAAGGCGAGGTTGGGGTCTTGAAAGGGGGCGAACGTGGCCATGAAGTCAGGTTAGGCATTAAGTTAGTAAAACAGTGTCACGCGCGGCGGTCCCACACCCTAGACGCAAAGTAATTTTTGGTGTTGGACCTCACAGTCGTGTCAGGCAGGAGTCTCTTTTGTCACTTTACGAAGTACCAACTCCGACCGTGCGCGCGTGCTATACCTCTTGCGACTCCCTACGACAGGTTAGGGATCCCTCGAGGTACAACATTACCTCCACCTGCGGGAGCTGTCACCATCCCTTAGGAGAGCGTATCCCTGCTGAGCTACTGACCCACGTGCGAAGGCTTTTACATGCAATCGCAGAGGTAGGTCAGCTGAGGGCGTTTTCTCGATCGCCGTCTCATAGGCATACGCGCGGTAGAACGCCTTAAGACTGACCCGTATGTCGAGCCCCGAGGTGCTAACTCTCAGGACCGACTATCTAATCAGGTCGACTTCTCGGACAGTCTTCCACGCTTAGGTAACTATGACAATGACTATGTGTTTACTTTGCTCATCATGTGAGAATGCCAGGGTCGATCCCTGACCAACTACGATCCCATTCACAAGTATATAAATATATATATAAATGTATATATGTAAATCAGAGGAGCTGACTGAGCGGTGGACCTCATTTTTACAATTGTCGTGTGCCTTTGCCCGAATATCTCAGA